AGACAAAAGGTGTTCGTTGAACATAGATCAGTGAACACTCAATGCCGAGGGTAAGTCCCCGAAGCAGGCTAACGAGGGATCGCCTAAGGTGGTTGGTGATGAATCACCATAGAAGTCATAGGCGGGATCGCCTAATCAGGAGGGATCACCGAATTGGCAGGGATCGCCGAATTGGCAGGGATCGACGCACCGGCAGGGATTGCCCCACTGGTAGGGATCGCCGAGATTGTTGAACTGAGTTTGTAGCGCCGAACTGATGGGGTCCGCCGAACCAAACGGAACGCCAAACTGGGTTGAAATGCCATACTGAATGGATTGTCAAACTAAGTGTGAGCGTTGAAATGAGCGGGATTGTCGAACTGGGAAGTATCACTGGTGCCGGCGGTATTGCCGAACGTTACTCAGCACTGCCATAAGTGATCATAGAAGAGGGGGCAGTAACAGGAAGCAAGTGTACCGCTGTAGAGATGAACCCCACGGAAACAACCACAGGGGGAAAAAGGCCGACCTTGGGAGAGAGATTGCCGATCCCAAAGGGATCACCGACACAGGAGGGATCGCCGAACCTGTGGAAGTTGAACCCAAAGGAAAAGGTTGAAGGATTGCCGATCTGGAGTGATCAGAAACATCAGACCGCTAAACGTAATTGAGAAGGCGACCGTTAAAAAAACACCACTCTAGTGGGACAAACGGCCTGTCTGTCAAATAGGCTGGGACTGCTGAGGTGTCCGAATGGGGAGGGTGGGGAGTGATCGGGCGGGAGAGAGACCAGAAAATTTGTTCAACTCTGCTTACAGCACGTTTCCACTCCAAGGTTGAAATAAGAGAGAGAAGTGCATTACGTGAGATAGGATAAGTTTTAATAATTATATTTGTGATTTTCACTTTGCTGATGTGACTTTAAATTCAAAATTATTATTAAAAAGAATAGCAGTTCCTCTTGCATTGCTCTTGAAGTGACTAAAGTAGCATTCCTTATAGCCCCAATGTTGCTTAATTAGCTGTTCTTGCTCACTACAGTCCGTTTGAGTCAGAAACGGACCGATGAACTGCACATTTTATTATTGTACAAAATTGCCACATAAATATAAATAGTACACGTTTATCATTTACTAATACACAACAGCTTTCTTATATTTGAAAATTTTCCAGACTCCACCAAAAAAAGTTGTTTAAGAAACTATCATCATTGAAAACGCAAAAGTTGTTATCTGTCGCGGCGGGGTGAAACCGCAGAAACGGTACAGCCAGTCATGGCGGGGGACATCTCAAAATCTATTCCGGGAGACCTACCGGTTCCTCGTCCATCGTAGTGTCATAGTCACGACTTAACTCATTAAGGCTGAGAGACGCATATATGGGGCAAATTAATCAGCTCCTCACAGCGAGTGACGTGTTTATGGGGCAGGTAATTAGCAGTTTCTCACAGCGAGAGCCACATAGAGTCGTCAACAGAAAGCACCTCTTATTCAGCGAGAGATGCACATGTGTGTTGTCAAGGATATAGCCAATAACCAATCTCTATCCCAGCTGCTGAGTGACCAAACGTGCTCTTCAGAAATTTCGCCCACACCCCATCACCTGTCCTTTCCTCTGTGACAGGTATCTCATGATACAATTGGTCGCAGATAACATATGACCAGCCACTACATTGAACAGTTGAGATACCGAGGAAATTTGATGACGCCCTATCACGTGACTCTTTGTTTTATGTCTATGCAAGGAATATGTAGTATACATTTTGTATATATATGTTTGTATGGTCACGTATGTTTTCTGCATTAAATCTGTATGAATTAAAGTGCAATGCTATGAATGTGCTTTGTGCTAGTCACAGACTAGCGTTATAGTACTTTCATTAAAATAATTCGTAAACACTAGAAATGTATCGGCAAAACCGCTATTTTCGTCGAAGATTATAAAGTATGAAAGTAAATTCTTCTTTACAGTATGTCATTGTCATAGATGTTTTGTAAATTTAAACCTCACACAATGATATAAGAGAGAGAATTTGTTAACGTGTGTCTCATCTGTTACATACAAAGAATACATGTGTATGCATATTGTGATAAAATATAAATGTACAAGCCGACAAAAGGTCTACAAGAGAAACTTGCAATAAAATTACATAAAGCTTGCAATACACGACATGTATTCACACCTGATTTCTTTCAACATATATCTTTACGACACAATTAAACAATCAGGACTTGTTTGTACAACTAGACAGTTTCCTGTGATCCCCGAAACCTGCCAGGGAAATCAGGTGTGACTAGCACTAATTAGTCTCGGCACAGAGAGTGGCCAATCAGCGAGGGCTTCCAGGTGTTGAGTAGTGATGGGGCTCTCGGGCTTAATGAGTTAAAGGGATGACAAGTGGTGCCACAGTTGCCTGTTGTAAGCCATCCCGAGACCAGTAACCTTGTTCAATGACGTTAGCTACCTTGTTGACACAGTTTTGCCAAGTTTCAGTCGTGATTTTGTTAAGGGATTCCTTAACCAAAACCTCTACGTCACGTAATCTAAAAGTTGTGTTTGATCTGGCAACATCTCCTTTGACAATACCCCATATCATTTCAATGGGGTTAAGGTCACAGTGATAGGGTGGAAGTCGCAGAATATCGTGACCCTTACATTTTATGTAACTGTCAACATTGTAGAAAGGTTCACCTTTGTGGGGTTTTATGATCTCATATAGCTGAGGCTTCGTTGCCTTTGAAGGCAATTTGTCGAGCCATGATATCATATCACCTTTTCGACTGTTCGATGTCGGGGCTTTACTGTCGGGGTCCTGCAAGCTGTGGAATGGGCATTGTCCATTACGATAAAGGACTTCTCTGGTAGAGCTGGTACCAACTTGTTTTTAACCCAATCGAGGAAAACCGCACCATTCATCTTGGAATGGTAGTCTCTGTTATCTGTGGACTTTGCCCTGAATACCAAGTCGCAGCCTGGGAGAAAGCCTTTGCTGGAGCAACCAGCATGGAGAATGATTAGTCTCTCTCCTTTCCCTAGAGGCAGCTTTCTACGTGACCCCTTATCACCCCCATCGGGTACCCACTGACTGCTGGCAGTGTGCGAGGCATTGACCCTGGTCTCGTCCAAGTACACTGGCTCGAACCCTTCCTTGCGCTTCTTCTTTATAACCCTGAGAAAATTATTTCTCAAGCGAACGATATCAGGGCGTTCACAGAGTACTGACCTATTTTCCCCCGAAATTTTCTTATAACGATACCCGGAAGAGTGTAAGAGTCGCCAGAGTGCGTACTTTGATACTCTGAGGTTGTGTTCTTGCTTCAAATGCTTTCTTAAAATTTTCAGCTACATGTATTTGTTTTCAGAATAGAGCTTCTTGATAGACTGCCTTACAAGGTTCTTTTGAAAGTTGTCCATATGTTTTAATTTGTGTGATTGTGACACGACCCCTACCTGCTTCGCATCACCCGCACAATGTTTGTGTTCCAGAACATTTGTCAGTACCCATGCTGATACTCCTAAAGCTTTTGCTGGCCACTTACGGAATTTATTAATGGCATGGAAACAATCGTACACTTTAATCATCAACTGTTTCACATCAACATTCAACTTCATTTTTCATCAGGCATGTGTATCCCGTGCCAGACGAGATAGTGGCTGTTCCATTTCTGAGGTTTCACCCCGGCGCGACAGATAACAACTTTTGCGTTTTCAATGATGATAGTTTCTTAAACAACTTTTTGGGTGGAGTCCGGAAAAAAATTCAAATATAAGAAAGCTGTTGGGTATAAGTAAATGATAAACATGTGTACTATTTATATTTATGTGGCAATTTTGTACAATGATAAAATGTGCATTATCGGTCCGTTTCTGACTCAAACGGACTTTAGAGAAGTGAACATACTGAAGGTAAAATATGTTAGGCTTTTTCAGTCTTAAAAATCTAAATTCTTGTTTCCTTTTGAGAGCATTGTTTAAGAGACAATATTTTCAATTGTTCCTTGTATACACTGCAATTTATTATCCTACATTAAAAATGATAGATATTTGGATACAATATGGTCTGATAAATTTACAACACTTTGGGGGGTTATTTTGTAACAACTCATTTGTAATGACAACAATACTTAAGGGAACTTTTTTGGTACAACAAACATATGAAAAGAAAGCAAAAATAAAACATGAGTACATGTTTACTTTACCGACTTCCATATAGGAGACTGGTGTTACATGTCATTTACCATTAGATTGATTTGGCTTTAGGTCAATAATAAAACTTAATGTTTGAAATATTTTAAATGTTAACAAACTTGTATGAAATCAAGGTACACACGTACATTTCTAATGAAGAAATAATAATTATCGACAACATTGTCAACATTACTTCACTGATATGGAATGAAGATACATTTCTAAGGGTTGAATATATGAAGAAATAATGATTCTCCACAGCATTGTCAACATTGTTTACAGCGAAAACATAAATCTTGTTGGCAGTGGCCTAATATTCTGATAGTACATCTCTGATATGAAATGAAGATACGTTTCTAAAGGAGAAAAAATAATTCTCGACAACCGTGTGAGCTCACTCATATGAAATGAGGATATTCAATATGATTGGCCCAGTTTCTTCCAGGCATCATGATGGCCTATTGAATGGGCTCAAATTAATCCACACAAAAGTCACCTTTTGTTATGCTTTTCTGCTGAGAAATGAGATGAAAGGGTCTTTGCAACAAGTTAACTAAAAAGTGGTATGTCAGCTATTACATTGTCCATTCAAGTCCAAAATTCACTTACCCTGTACAAGCTATGATAATGTTCTGATGACAAATTACACAAACTACTACCAGGTAATCCAGGCCAACTGTCTGATGCCATGTTGATCGACTACAGTATCTGCCAGAACCATACCTCAACAACAACAGCAACATTGATTCAGGAGTCATAGGTGACAATGAGGAACCAGTCAACTTATTTTGACCCCTGTTCTGGTGAAATATAAATGTTTTAAAAAAACCTACCTTGAAATAGTGAAAGAATGCTTCCTTGTTTTGCTTCAGCACTTTGTAATCAGACTGGAATTGAAATGAAGTCTGTGGGACACATTTTCCGGAGATGTCTTGTAATGACGCTGAGAATGTTGCATCCATAGGCAAGCTCACAATACTTGACGAATGTCCTTTTTCTGCATCACTGGGGGCATATCTCTGTTTTGATTCCACATCTCCTTGTTTCTTAGGAGCTTTAGGTGCAGTTGCCTTTGACGGGGAAACTGATTCAGACACAAAGTTCTGAAACATCTGGTTATCATTTTCAGTCATTCTTTGCATTGATTTATTCTGTTTAAATGTTCCAGTGACACCTGCACCTCCATAACTTATATTTTCAATCCCAACTTCTTCAATTGCAATTCTTCTCAGAGACTTCTGGAAAGAGATAAAAATCGATTAAACTTGAAAGGTGAAAAGAAAACGGCAGCAGACCCATGCCCATAATTTTCTGAAGGCAAAGTTATAAGTACTTATTCTATCATGACCTTGGCTTAATATCTTAACCATGAACTGCACAGAGATCAAGTATATTAAATATTGCAGTAACAACAAAGTGGAGAGTGAGGATCAGTCCGGCACTTGACCTGGTCCAGGCACTTAAAATGCCCCATAATTGTTTTTCCTAATCAGTTATGACAAAACACAAAAACAATACATTGATTTGACCAGACCAAGGTCTTTTAACAGGGCCATGATGCCATACCACACTGGACTCACCTTCACAACAAATATGAAATGGAATTTTTGTTTAAAAATTTCTGTTTCTAAAGACACTGACAAGTAATAGTACATCAGTCTTATTGTGGAATAGGTCATGATAATCACCTATATTGTAACACAGTATTTATCAAAAACAATCAGGCCATGTTAATCAGCCAAACATAACATTTAACCACTTTCAAAATGGCACTGTGTATTCAAAATATGTCTTCCATTTTGATTAGCTGTATATGCAGCCAGTTTAGATTTTTTATCTGAGTATAAAGAGAATTAAATATGGACATAAGTTTTGTAATGATGTTAGGGGCACTGATCCAGAGCGACTCATGTTTTGTGCCAACAATTCTATTGTGTCATCCAGCTGCCATGTGGGCAGCACCTGCTCCCTCGACCATGACGGACACAGGGACTGGGCAGCTGTCAGTGTCTTCCAAAAGTTACACGCATTAAAACAACAAATGTTATGGTTGGTTGCACTGAGGTTCACAATACTGTTACCTTCGATAATTAATGGACTAGTCCAATTGTACTAATCCAAACACAGAGAGAAGAGATTATGCATAATGACAGTGACTTAATTTTATATTGTTTATGTTGGAAAAACAATGTTAAAAAGGAAGTAACTCCATTAGGTTAATGAAAACTCAAAAACATAAAAATTCTATAATCCTGTTTTGATCCAAGTGAACATCGTAAAAACAATCATGCAAAATCTCTGATCCTAGTAAGAATATTTCTGTGTTTCTTATCTGTTAACATAGTTAAATATTTTTCTGGCTCCAAAAGACTTTTTAATTGTACAGCTTATACCTTTTTAATTGTCTGTACAGCTTATACATTGATATCAATAGATCGAAATCCTTAGTTGGTAACTTCATTAGACGATAGCCTGTCACTCGTGCCTCATAATCCATAAAGCCTTTATCAGACCCCGATCTCTTCCCCCAGTGTACGCTAGTGGTCACTATGACCGCGAGCCAACACTTTCCTGGCCACGGGCCGCCCTATATCATGTTGACCTCGACGAAACAGTTTAATGTGAATCTCCTATGATCTCTTTGGTTTTCGTAATGAAGGCTTGCCAGGCTTGTTGTACCCCTTGTTCTATGTACTTTTTTTTCTCTTCTTCGCTGATGCCAGTGCTCTTACAAGACTTGGCCCGGATCTCTTGTTTCATCTCGTGGTACTTGTCGAGTTCAGAGAGGACCAAACGAAACTCCTCCTCGGAGACTTTACTGTTAGTGAGTGCGGTGGAGATGTGGTCGCTTACCATGTTCAGCTTTGCTTCGGCCAGAACCCTGATCTTGTCGTGCTTCGACGCTTTACTATGTAACTTGCGAGATGCAAACTTAAACACTAACCCCACCAACCCTGACACCCCAGCTGTTATTTCGATGCCTAGCACTATAGGTGCGGCTACAATGGTGGCCAACAACCCGGCACCTACCGTTCCTAATCCCATGCTGGTTGTCATAAGGGCGGTATCAACCCAATCCACAACACTGAAAGCTCTATGGTACTTCTTGCATAATGCTGTCCGTTTGTCGCGGTCTTGTTCTAGTTGGCGTTTTATGTCACATAACTGTCTCAAGCGGAACCCGTCTACGGTTTCCAGTGTCTTCGCTACTTCTTCTACGACTGGGTACAGGCCCATCCTGTGCATATAATATACTTTATGAGATATCTTTTAATTGTGTATCCTTTATTACTTGTTCAATATATTTGAGACTTATAAGGTTTAGATTCATGCCCAGGGAAATAGGTGAGAGTTTAATAGGTAAATCTGTGCTTACACGAACCCCCTGGAGGCTTACTTCGGTGAGTATCAAACTCGGTGGGTGTGCCGACCCCAGTTGTATGATGATACGGCAACGTCGGTTAGTGCTCCTGATGCCCCAGTGTATTGTCACCCCAGGTAAAAGTTGTTGTTCCATGCCGTCAGGATCGTGTCTTAGATGGACTTCTATGACAAGTGTGGAGAGCGGTCTCATAGTAAGAAAATACAATTGGGAATCGGGTACGTCAAACCTTAACTCTGCACCACCGTATGCACTTATCATGTTACCTGTGTGATTTGGTATTAGAAGAGCTTCTACCCCACCACCCGAAACGAAAGACCCGATTAACTCTTTCAACACCAGTCAACCAGAGGCATTTACTGCCATGACACCGAGTTCCCAGAGACTCTAAGGTCATAGATGAAGCCTATGTTTATGAAGGAAATTATAAGCTTGTAAAACGTTATTACTACTACATCTCATACACCATTTAAAAGATCTAATCCCACTGTTGATAAATATGAAGTTTATTTTTATAATATAATTCAAATAATACAACTACGACTTAAATAAATTTATTTTTTAATGAAAAAGCAAGCTTACATTTATAATGTCCAGATAAGCCACGAAAGAAGCAAAAACTATGGCGATTTTTTTCCATTTGTGACATGTCATAACATGTCCGTGCCTTTTTCTTTTATATTTTCATCTTTACGTAATCAGAAAGTTATCATAAAAAGATTTTTTAAATAATATGTATGGTCACCTATTTCCCGATATCAGTGGCTTTCCGCTCAGTAACATGACACAACAACGGAAAATACCTCCGTTTTCGAAGCTTCGTATGAATAACATGGGAGGTGAATCGTTTGATGTCGGGCATCGTTTCCAAAGCTCTGAACATCCACAATATCACTGTACCTGTGCCGAGAGTATTTTCACATTTGTAAGAAGCCATTTTATTGGATAAAGATTGGTTTCTAATGATGCTTTTTCGCCACAGTCTGCTATAAGGTTCGTGATTGGTCAAAATCAGACACGTGACCTAAGGCAGCCAATCCTATTATGGCAATGGATACTGTCCTCGTAAACGAAAACTTTTAGATTTAGACGAAAGCTTTGGGTAAAATAATGCTATTCTGAACATATTAAGCAAGAATTTGCTACATATACATAAATTATGGGACTTATTGGACGTATCGTGCTAGGTTATGACCTGTAACAAAAATGCTTCATGCATATATTTTCGCATTAAACATCGTGTCAAAGCGTGAAGATTGAGGCGGTGAGAGCCGAGATGTCACTTGTCAGTGACTTGACTTACATTACATGATCGCACAAAAAGATGGAAATAGTAATTTTATATGTACGTTTGACAACTTTTATGAATGCTGTTGTTGATTTTATTCCCTAGTTTATTCAATTTATTTAATGATTTCCTCGAAACATCGTTACTTTGCTCTTTGACAATGTTATTGTGGACCTGCTGCTGAAACATGTGTCCGAGAATCGTTGTTTTCAATAACATTGTGAAAAATAGTTTATAATTTTAATTCTGCCGATAATATATGATCAATTGAAATTTAATAAGTGTTTTCAAACATTGTGAAATGTGATAGATTTAATATATGAATCACAAGTCTGGTAGGTTTCTAAAATTATGTCTCATTTTGACGTGACTACTGCCTGGCCGATTAATTGGCCTCCGGTGTCTGGGGACTCATAACGTTGTGGCCCGATTATTCGGCCAGCGGTGTTGAATGGGTTAAGATACCATTGTTTCTAACTTCGGTGACATCTCTATGCTCGTTTAAAGAGATGTAAGGGGCGGTGAGGGTCATGTTGATCAACCATTCGGGTTCTTTAAAGTCTGCCAGGGACACCCGCCTATACACGTTGTCTTTTAAGTGTAGGACGTACAAGGCGTCTTCCTCTCCGTACCAATCGAATCCCTCTGTGTCTCCTAGGTCCCCGAGTGGAATTCGCCGGTAGACTCGCCACGCCTTCGAATTCAGACACCACCTGCAACCCCACGTTTTGCACCCCGGGCTTACTCGACAGCATGTGGGCTTCCATACTCGAGAGTGGGCTGATGACTACCTACGCTTCTGTGCCGGGACGTAAGCCACGAGCAGGGTTCCGTTGTTCACGACTTTGTTTAGGTAGTTGTCTTTGTTCTCCGTGAACACGTAGGGGGAGCCGAGCGTGATGTTGAGAAACCAGTCGATTTGAGAGGGTAACAACACCCACTTGTCATCGCCGGTGAAGACGAGGGTATACTGCTTGTTTCGGGCGACGGTCGTACTCTCGACATCTTCTAGGTCGAACAGTTTGCGACCGAACGATGGGTATACCGACCATCTATTATCACCAATGCGGACTAGGTCGAACCGAGTGTTGTGGGCCGCTCCTGAGGTATCGACTATATCACCTAGGTTTCTACCGCTGGAGGGGACTTCAACGCGTTTGTAAATGCTGTTTTTAAGTACAGTCTACCCTCTACTCCGGGGTCGTCGAACCCGCGTGTGTCCCCGAGGTTGGAGATCCCTACATTGACACATTTTTTCAACCTCATACCGGGTCCTTGAGCTCTAGTCATTTTATGTGCAGCGTTATGCTGAGGTATCCTATATTCACAGGATTATGCTTTATAACTGATATTACCAACTCCGGGATGGTGCCCCGAGTTAACCTCTTGTACTGTCTCGATGAAAACGACTCGGTTCTGCCGTCGTTGTACTTCTCCGTTTTCACCGGTACGGCTCTCAGCAGCATTGAAGGGCGTTCGACCTGAATGTTGTTCGTCGTGCTCAGCTGATCGAGATGAATGCACAGCTCGCGGTACGGGACTAGGTCGGGTAACTTCGTACCCATGAC